ACAACCTTTCTGCATCTACAATGTCATGTCCCCTGAAAGTCTTGTGTCCTTCAATAAGATCGCCTTGGATTCTTCTGAGCCTCAATGTATGCAGGTCCAAGCTACTCTGTTTCTCCTCATAAGACAGTCCCTCCATATCTGGGATTAACCTAGTAAACCTTCTCTGACTGCCTTCAATGCCAGTAAATCTTTCCTCAAGAACTAAGAACAAAGAAAGTTACAGCACAGGAACAGGCCCTTCAGCCCTCCAAGCCTGCGCCAATCCAGATCCTCTATCTAAACCTGTTGCCTATTTTCCAAGGATCTGTTTCCCTCTGCTCCCTGCCCATTCAGATACATCTTAAATGATGCTATTGTGCCTGCCTCTGCCACCTCCACTGGCAACGCGTTCCAGGCACCCACCACCCGCTGCGTAAAGAACTTTCCACGCATATCTCCCTTAAACTTTTCCCCTCTCACCTTGAAATCGTGACCCCTAGTGATGGAGTCCCCCACTCGGGGGGAAAAAGCTTCTTGCTATCCACCCTGTCTATACCTCTCATGATTTTGTAGACCTCAATCAGGTACCCCCTCAACCTCTGTCTTTCTAATGTAAATAATCCTAATCTACTCAACCTCTCTTCATAGCTAGCGCCCTCCATACCAGGCAACATCCTGGTGAACCTCCTCTGCACCCTCTTCAAAGCATTCACATCCTTTTGGTAATGTGGCGACCAGAACTGTACGCAGTAAATCGAGGAACCAAAACTATCAACTGTGGTCTAACTAATGCCTTGTATAATTTTAGCAAAATGTCCCTATTTTCATCCTCAATTTCCTTTGAAATAAAGGCTAACAATCCACTGTGCTCCTTATTACCTGCTGACCTTACATACTAGCTTTCTGTGATTCATGCAGGAGTACCCAAAATCCCTCTGTGCTGTAGCTTTCTGCTGTCTTTCTCTATTTAAATAAATTCGGCTCCTCTATTCTACCTGCTAAATGCATAACCTTACATTTGCCCCTATTGTTTTCTATTTGCATAACCTGTTTATACCCCTCAGCAGACTCTTTGTGTCATCTTCAGCACTTGCTTTCCCACTTATTTTTGTGTCATCTGCGTTCTTGGCTATGGTACATTTATTTTCCTCATCTATGTCATTAATATATATTGTAAATAATTGTGCCATAGCACCAATCCCTATGGCACTCCGCTGGTTACAGATTGCCATCCTTAAAATTTCCACCATATACCAACTCTGTCTTCAGTTAGTTAGTCAGTCCTCTATTCGTGCTAATATATGACATCCAACACCATGGTCTCTTAAGTAGCCTAAACTGTGGTACCTTACCAAATGCCCAATATTTTTGAGTAGATTTGTAGCTCGGGTTGTGGATGAGGCTGCACTTTGATGTCACCCAGAAGGGTAATGAAATGTCTGCAAACTAATTGAACCAGCTTGGTGAGCGAACCAACCATAGCATACCAAATGCCTTCTAAAATCCAAATGTATTACATCCACTGCTTTCCCTTTATCTATCTTGCTTGTTACCTCTCCAAAGGGTTCCTCTTTATGAAGCCATGTTTCCTTTGCATCATCATATGTATTTTTTAATGCTATGCTATTTCATCCTTTAAATTAGACTATAACACTTTCTGAATAACAGATGTTAAGTTAAATGGCCTACAGTTATCTGTTTTTGTTCTTTTTTAAATAAAAGTGTTATGTTGACAATTTTCAATCCTCTGGGATTTTTCCAGAATCTAAGGTTCTTGGAAGATCACTACAGTGCATGAACTATAGTTACTACTTTTACAATCCTAGGATGCATTGCATTAGGTCCAAGACACTTATTGGTCTTTAGCCTCGTAAGTTTCCCTGACACCTTTTTTCTATTACTAGTTATTGTATTTGTTTTCTCATCTCCATTTGTCCCTTGATTGTTTGTTTGTATTGTTGGAATGCTGTAGTGTTGTGAAGTTGGGTAGAGTACTTGTGAATTAGATGGCAGGATGTTAGAATTGGTTTGCCAAAGTGATAGGGGGGAAGAGTGCATGGTCCCTTTTAAGAGGTGAGGTGCTTTTCTAAGTTTGGAGATTTAAAAAAACTGTAACCAGCTGCAAATGCGCAGACAGTTCTGAAATTGAAACGTGTATCAATTGACTGTGGTTGGCAACCTCGGCTTGCTTTGATGTTAAGGCAACCAGCTTGAATATCAGCCAATTAATTTAAAGCAGGTCCTAGCTGCCAAAACCCAATTAAATTTAAATCTGATGGAGTTGACAACCTAGGACCAAACCTATTCTAAGAAAATTGACAGGTCATCAAGGATATATAGGAAGACAGTTTTTGAAAATTAGCGTGAGAGCGCACTACTATCAGAAAAGTAACACTCTAGCTTTTGCAGAAATCTTTAAGCTCTCTGATTAAGTACCATCTAGAAGGTACCACGGCACTCTTAGCTAATATTCCTGATACAAAGATTTGACGAAGAAAGAATTCCTGACTGAAGACTAGCAGAAAAGGCACAGAACATTCTGGAAGATGCATCCTGACAGTACTTCTGAGAGTCTAAGTTTTAATTTATTTTTCTAATTCCTTTGGTTTATATCAGTGGGACTCATTGGAACAGCATACCATTAGAATTTTGTTCTGTTTGGGAATAGTTAGTAGTTAAGGGGGAATTGTTCAGTTTGTTAGTAGGTCTGTTAATTTGTTCGCTGTTAGATAAATAAATTGTTGTTGCTTATAAAGAGAGTATCAGGGATTTCTTTCATTTAACTTTTTCTTTATAACAGATTGGGAGGTGAAAGGGAGGTTATTACATTTTTCCCATTTCCTCTAGCAGATTACAGGTCGAGGTGAGCTTCTCTGGGTGTTTTGGTTTTAATTATCAAAGGGGTTTGACCACCTCCTACCGTAACAATAGTGTCTTCTGTGGCTTTAGGAGTTGTATTTTGTCCTTTTTTTTATGAAGAAAGGTTGAGACAGAGGTATTGAGTGGATTGCTCAAATCCAATAAAGCAAACAGCTTGTGAGGCCTTGGGATTTTTTTAAAAGTTGGAGCCATAGAAGCAGGCTGAACGTGTAAGGTCAAACTCCCGCAAGAACCAGGATTTTTAGCATTAGCTTTCTGCAGTTGCTGGGGTGTTGAAGCTGAATGTGGAAGATCTTATTGCTCTCCCTGTTACAGCTAAAAGCTGGGGTTCTTTTCCTGCTGCTAGAATTGCATGTGAGACATCTATTTTACTGAATTTGCCTTTGCCTAGATTGTGTTTATGGGATGCCACCATATTGGAACAGTTAGTATTGGTTAATATATATATTATTTTGTTAAGTATTTCAATAGAATTACAGTTAAGCCAAATCTTTTATTTTTTTTGTCTGTGTTTTAACAGTAGTGTAGAAATACAGTGTGTTTTGCTTTATGTTGAGTAGGTTGACCAATTGAATTGCATCTGGAAGTTAACGCCTTACACTTCTCTTTAGAATAAGAAGTAGTTAGTAGTTAGGCTGTCTTCTTAATACATTTTGAGGAGGTTTGGCCTGGTCCATAACGCTAGCAATGTGAAGACCGATGATAAGAATTTATTCAGCTTCTCTGCTATTTATCCCATACCCTGCCAGTTTTTACACCATCAGCTGCCATATGTGGGCAATTTTTGAAAGGTTTCAAGTATTCCTATAGGGTTAATGAATGGATAGATGGGTTGAGAGTGAGTCATGGATGGATAAGTAGATGGATTGTGGGGTTGGTGTTTGACTCAGTGAAAGTAGGCAGGATTAGGGTATGTAGTTTGTTTGATGGAGGGCTAATCAGGTACATTCAGGGAGTGTAGTGGTTGGGTTCCTTTATTTCTTTATTCATTCACGGGATGAGAGTGTCGTTGGCTAGGCAGCATTTATTGTCCATCCCTAATTGCCCAGAGGGCAGTTAAGAGTCACCCATATTGCTGTGGGTCTATGAGTCACACGTAGGCCAGACCACAAGGACCCTAAAGGACATTTGTGAACCAGATGGGTTTTCCCTAACAATCAGCAATGGATTTACGGTCATCATTAGACTCTTAATTCCAGATATTTATTGAATTCAAATTCCACCATCTGCCATGGTGGGATTCGAACCTGGGTCCCCAGAACATTATCTGGGACTGTGGATTAACAGTCCAGCGATAATACCACTACGCCATCGCCTCCCCTAAGGCATGGTTGAGTGGCTAGTCAGTAATGCATATTATGGTTAGGGGGCACAACCAATCCATTTGGTGATTTGGGAGTTCATATGTTGGGGATGGTGGATAGGTTTGGATTCTCAATAATTGATTTACACTGGAGATTTAACAGTGTAACAGTTCTAGGATCAATATCCAGGTAAGTAGTGCATATCTAATCCAAGCCTCTGACACAGATCAGCAGATCAGACATTCATAGGAGGTCCAATATAGTGCACTTTCAGGCCAGCAGAAGGTTACATTTCCCAGGGGTGCAACAAGACATACTCATTGACCCCACACACATAAATGTCTTCTGTTCAGTGCATTGCTGCTCCTGATACTGGAAGATCTGGCTCACTGTGTTATGTAGACTTTTTGTTTTGCAAAATGTGCTCAAAGTAGCAGTACAGTAGTAGATAATGCCCGAGCAGATTTGCTGTTCCATGTGCTTTCTAACTTTCATTCATTGCAGTGTTTTGTTCTCTGTTTGATCATTAAAGTGTAATGAGTCATAAGGTTAATATTAGAAAGGTTTTGCTGGCATTCACAGAGCAACTGAATTGCCCTGTTTGTCGGATTCATGCACACCATGCAGTTTTTATCTTCTAGAGGGAAAATGTCGGGTTTCATTGAGCACTTGTCTTTTCACAGTATATTTGAATTTAGGACCTCACTGTAGAATTGCAGGCCTGATTCTGTTCTCTGCAGTTTAGTACTTCTGAAAGTGACTTTTGAACAAACTTTTACTGTGATCTTCAACAAAAAGTTAGAGCATAGACTTAAATAAATGTCTCTCTGATTGCAGGATGATTTGAAACGCCGTTCTGTATCAATAGATGATACGCCTAGAGGTAGTTGGGCCTGTAGTATTTTTGATCTCAAAAATTCACTTCCTGACGCTGTCCTTCCAAATCTACTTGATCGCTCTCCAATTGAAGAAATAGATCAGCAGAATGAAGAACAGAGGAAGGCAAATCGACACAAGGAGCTGTTTGCACTTTATCCAGCACCAGATGAGGTTTGAAAATTACACGTGTGTTTGATAGAGCTGTGTGCCAAACAGTTTCAATTTTTGTCTTGTCATTTTCATGTAACATTGTTTAACAATAATAGTGTGAAATAATACTGTTTAACTGGTCACTTCACTAAGAAACTGTGGGATTGCAGATGTAGGAAATGAGAAGTATTAGACTGATGTAGTAAGGGGAACTTGCTGAGAATAGAATATGTTTTGCTCTGTATCTTTCCTGTGCTGTGCCTGTCCTGGGAAGATTTGATGCTGACAGAGCATTACCTACATTGGGAAGTATTCCAATATTATCATTCCATTCGATGATAAACAAAAATATTCACAAACTAAACAATTATTATATTTTGTGGTTGTTAGAGCATAGCTTGTAATGTGAATAAACTAACAATAACCTACTGAGTCATATGCTGTGATATGAGCAGTTTTAATTCCACTTTCAAAATGTTAAGTCACTTCGGTATAAATTAACTTTTTGAGAATAGTACGATGATAAGTTCCTCTATTTATTTAAAATGGTTTTAACTTCTGCTGCTCAGACTGTCAAGGGCACTTGCCAATCAAACTGAGCTTGTGGGTAGTTGCAGTTCCACATCAAACAGGTGCTTTGGTTGCTCCTTCCCAGATGCTGGCTTGAGACCAGCTATGTGCGGAAATTGATTTGGGAGTGACTCTGCCTCATCTCTTCCAGCATCACCGTTACCACCAGTTGTCACCTTATTGGTGCTTTGCTTTGGTATTTTTCATTTCCTCATTCTCAGGCAAGCAGTGGAACAGGAATGTTGCACTTATTGAGCGACTAGTATTTTTCTGAGAGCTCCTTTTAAATAATATTTAGGGTTGCCGTCAGAAAATACTGTTTTCTCCCTGCTCTTTGAACAAGTCACATTTGGAAGATGGGGCATACAAAATGAATTGGGTGACAAGCCTGCTGCCTTCTCTTGTCTCCTGACCAATCTGGCATATTCTGGAGGGGGAGTTAAGGTATTGGGCAGCCGGCTCACCTTTAGGTCTGTTGAAGTCATTACTTGGAGAGTTGGCTGCCAGTTAATGGCCTTGTACTGCATTCACTGCATGTTTTTGATCTGCATGCTCACGGCACCTTTCACTGCAGGCAGGAGAAGGGTAAATCCTTTGTGGGATTGCCCTGTGCCTTCTTCCAAGATAGTACCATCCCTTTGCCTCTTTCTGAACTAACACTCTTCCTGTCACTGGGGGAGGGGGGAAGTCCAACGCTGATCCAACTAAGAACATAAGAAGTAGGGGTAGGAATAGGCCATTCAGCTCGCAAGCCTTTTCTGCCATTCTGTAAGGTCATAGTTGATCCACCAAGGGCCTCAACTCCTCACTTGTGGCAATTTCTCATAGCCCTCAACCCCTTCATATTTTAAAAATCTATCAACCTCCTCCTCAAATACTTTAAGTGATCTAGTCCCTACAACTCTCTGGGATAGAGAATTCCAGACATTCATTTCCCTCTAGGAGAAGATACTCATTTGCCTCACAGCTTTAAATGAGTGTCCCCTTATTCTGTAACCATCTCTCCTAGTTAGGGATTGGCCCCACTTGTGGGAACATCTTCTGAACATCTACCCTGTTACATCTGTATGATTGTGTTCCATAGTGACCGAGATTGGTGAGTTGTGTAAAGAGCCTCTTTATTGAACATCTGCAGTGGCACAGTTTGAGGCGGCGATGGAATCCAAAGTACAGTTTTACAGTAGCCTCTATTATACACAGTTTTTACATACATTAAAATTTTAGCACTAAGGTGTCACATAGTTGTATCTATTGTACACAAGTTTGGGTGACATCTGTCCTTGTTAAATGCTGGCTGTTGCTCCTGATGGGATTAGAATGTCTGTCTGTTCTGAGCTTGTATAGTTAAGAGGTGTTCATCCTTTTGCCTTTAAAGTTAGCAAGATGAGAAATACTAAACCTGTATGATTGAAGTAAGTGAGAAATTATACATGTATTAAATAAAAGTATAGAGGATATTAAACTGATCTCCCGCAGCTGGGTTGTAAGACTTCATCTACTGTTGGCGGTTCCTACACATTTATTCATGCAGTTTCACGGAGGGCTGTTTTGATAGTAGGTTTCTTAAAGGGGGTAGCGGCCCTATTTAATATGGATTTAAAAAGTACATTAGTACAAGATCTAAATGAAAGCTAGAAATAGGTAGTACAGTGTTGTAGAATTAGGTAGTATAGAAGGAAATTTCAAAGAGATAAAAAGCAGCAAACTGTAGGGACATGCTGGTGGAGGAAACTGTTTGATGTCCTGCAGCCTATCAGGTCCTGAGAGATGGTTACTTAGGGCTAATTCATATTATAATCTTGCCATAGTTTTGAGTGGGTTATAGAGACACGGTGGCGGGGATGGCATTGTTCTGAGTAGGTTACAGTATTAACAATTATTCAGGGGTTACCTTTGATACAGAAACTGGTCTAAACACTAAACATGGGGCCAACAAGAATTGAAAGGTGTAGAGAAACAGTAATGGGTTGGCAACCTAGGAAGGGATGTTTCATTTAATTTGTCTTATAAGAGTAAAATGTACTACAAAAACACGGTTTTATGAATGGAAATGCAGTATAGTAAACATAGAATGCTTGTGAGTGAGTTCGTAAAGAGAATCATAGTACAGTATATCACACATCCCCAAAAAATCTTGTATGTTTCCATAAAATCACCTCTCATGCTCTGATCTCTACTGAATAAAGGCTAACCTGTTCAGCCTTTCTTGACAAGTCAGCCCTTTCGTTCCAGGAATCAGTCTGTTGAATTTCTCCAACGCCTTCAATGCCAGTTTGGCCTGAATTAAGTGCAAGAACTAAAACTATACATAGTACTCCTGGTGCAGCCTCACCAACATGCTGTATGGTTGTAACAAAACTTCCCTATTTTTAAGTTCTAACCCCCAATAAACGCCAAAAATCCATTCGCCTTCTTAGAACATAGAACGTAGAATATAGAACTGTACAGCACAGGAATGGGCCCTTCGACCCACGATGTTGTGCTGAACATGACACCAAATTAAACTAATCCGTTCTGCCTGCCCTTGGTCCATATCCCTCCATTCCTTGCACATTCATGTGCTTAAACATCCCTATCGTATTTGCTTCCACCATCACATCTGGAAGTGCGTTCCAGACTTCTACCACTCTGTGTAAAACAACTTGCCCCTCACATCTCCTTTGAACTTTCCCCCCTCCCCTTAAATGCATGCCCCCCTAGTTTAAGACATTTCAACTCTGGTAGAAAGATTCTGGCTATCAACCCTGTCCATGCATCTCATAATTTTACAGAATTTTATCAAGTCTCCCCTCAGCCTCTGCCACTCCAAAGAAAACAACCTGAGTTTTTCTAGCTTCTCCTTATACTCATACCCTCTAATCCAGGCAGCATCCTGGTAAACCTCTTCTGCACTCTCTTCAAAGCCTCCGCATTCTTCCTGTAATGTGGCAACCAGAATTGAGTGTGGTCTAACCAATGTGTTGCAAAGCTGCAGCATGACATCCGGACTCTTGTGCTCAGTTCCCTGACCAATAAAGACAAGCATGCCATATGCCTTCTTTACCAACCTGTCTACTTGTGTGGCCACTTTTGAGGGAGCTATGGACTTGAACGTTAAGATCCCTCTGTACATCAACGCTGCTCAGGGTCCTGCTGTTAACTGTATACTTTTCCTTAATATTTGATCACCCAAAGTACAGCACCTCACACTTACCTGGATTAAACTCCAACTGTCATTTCTCCACCCGTATCCGCAACTAATCTATATCCCGCTGTATCCTTTGACAATCTTCTACATTATCCACAACTCTACCGATCTTTGTCTCATCTGCAAACTTAGTAACCCACCCATCTACATTTTCATCTAAGTCATTTATATATATCACACACGGTGGAGGTCCCAGTATGGATCCCTGCGGAACACCGCTAGTCATGGACCTCCAGCCTGAAAAACACTCCTCCATCACTACCCTCTGCCTTCTATGGGCAAGCCAATTCTGAATCCATATGGCCAAGTCACCATGAATCTTAATCTTCTGGATGAGCCTACCAGGAGGGAACTTGTCAAAAACCTTACTAAAATCCATGTAGACAGCATCCACTACTCTACACTCATCAATCACCTTTGTCACCACCTTGAAAATTTCAATCAAGTTAGTAAGACAGACCTACCCTGCACAAAGCCATGCTGACTGTCCCTAATTAGGGCATACTTTTCCAAATGCTGCAAATCCTATTCCTAAGAATTCTCTCCAGTAGCTTCCCAACCGCTGATGAGAGACTCACTGGTCTGTAGTTTATTGGATTATCCCTATTTCCCTTCCTGAATAGAGGGACAACATTAGCTACTCGCCAGTTCTCCGGAACCTTTCCAGTGGCTAGTGAGGACACAAAGATCTTGGTCAAGCCCTCAGCAATCTCCTCACTTGCCTCTCTCAATAATCTGGGATAGATACTGTCGGGCCCTGGGGACTTATCCACCTTAATGCCCTTCAAGAGACCATCATCACTTCTTTCTTGATCTCAAAAAGCCCTATCATGTTAGCATGCTGCACACAAATCTCACGGTCCGTATCCCTCTCTTGGGTGAATACCGATACAAAATACTTATTTAGGATCTCGCCCACGTCCTCTGCCTCCAAGCACAAGTTTCTTCCTTTATCTTGAGTAGTCCTCCCTTCTCCCTAGTTATCCTCTTGTTTCTAATGTATGTACAGTTACCTTGGGATTCTGTTAAAACTGACCTACCAAGGTCATTTCATGGCCCCTTCTTGTTCTCCTGCTTGAGTTCTTTCCTGCTTTCTTTACATTCCGTACAGACCTTGACTGATTTAAACTTCCTAAACCTTACATATACTTCCTTTTTCCTTTTGACTAAATTCACAACCCCCCTTATTATCTAAGGGTCCCTTACCTTGCCATCCTTTTCCTTCCTCCTTACTGGAACATGCTGATCCTGAATTCTCATCAGT